AGTGCTCCTCGGATCTTTGCGATTTAAAACTATGAGTGGCACTGCAACTGTTATGGACAGGCGTGTAGCTTACCATCAGTCGCACGACTTGTTCGTCCTGTTACTTGATGTTACAAAAAAGTACTAAGTAAAATAATAATTAAAAAAATATTACATATAAGTGGGTTAAAAATTTACGTCTTTGAGTGTTTCCGATATCTATTAACCATTAAAGTCATCTCGGCACGTTGGCTTTAGAAAACTATTACATTTCAAAGTTAAAGAGGAGTTAAGAATTTCCTCTGGACTCTATCGAAGTATAATAATATTATCTCTAACAATACCTCAATCAGAGCGAGCTATAAAATAACGTACCGACACTTCCATGCAAGGTAATTGACACCCAATATGAGGTTTGCACAAGCTGTAATGACGTATTATTACATATGAAGGACGTTTGTAGTCTGTACAAGAATATGCCTCTACATTGTCCAACGATTTCATTTGTCATAGGCAAACAAAGGCCGGCAGTAAGGCCAATGCCATCGATTGTCAGCCCTCACAAAGGGAGTAACAGTACAACAGGGTACTTTTATTGTTTTACAACCCGGCTCCCGTAGCCGCAGGAGGCAGCAACCTAAAATATTCACTTAAAACTATAGAACTGCCAATTAAATAGATTTACAACCGTTAAACTACGTTCTGGGAACAAGTGAATGAGCCGTCATTTGTATTTCGATAGTTTGAATTTTGTAAATGACATTTTGTAGTCATTATTTATTTTCGACTACGCCTTACGAAATTTTAAATAAAAATTTAAAATTTTAATCCTCTACGAATAAAACTAAAAGCAAAACTTTGTATGACATTTGTTAAGGTACTTACTAAATCTTTTTTCGTAAATACAAGAACCTGGAATGTGTATGGTATGAGCAACAGTCCGACAGCGTTGATGAGAGACATGCGGATTATCCATTGACTTACAAATAAATGGACGACGGGTCTAATACAAAAACCACGAAAAAAATGTCCCAAGTCACCCTATTTAAACGTAGTGACATGTAAAGGAATATGAAAAAGCTAAAACGTTGAATTTAAATTGTAATGTCATCGCAGTACTGTCTAATTTTGCTTGCTTCGCTGTCAGTCGAACAAACGAAGACTAAAGCGTGAATGACGCTCTGCATACGATTTTAACGCCCTATAAGTTCGGACACTTTTTAGCGCGGACCCGACGTCCATATAATTGTAAGTCTATGGGATTACCCGAAAATCCCTAGATGCTATAAATTGTACACTGGGCACCCCTATACGAAAAGAGTAAAAAGACTGTTACTATTTGTTGCATCGACTCTTCAGCAACGTCGTTCAGATGTAAGCTATAGTTTAGGTTACGATGGAACTGACATATACATTGTATAAAAATGCCTGAATAAGTAAAGATTTTAAAAAATACAGGGACTCTCGTTCCTTCAGGGCAGTGAACTATGGCCTACATTACTACAATAGGCACTAATGTATTACCTTGTGATAATGTTCGTGTATAGGCTCTAACACACTGCCCTGCCTAAATGTGTATTCAAAACACATGTGTACGGAGAGTTACCGATTTAAGGTGGTTTTCCGCGGGCGAATCGAAACGAGGATTGAAATTTGTATGACAACATTTCAATTTTCTTCTCGCCCATCTTAGTGGAAATGGTCTGGATTGACGAGGATGGGCGAAAATTGAAATATTTGTTGATGTAGTATTGAACTGTATCGCTGCTATATTGAAGATACTCTGCAATCGCGCGTGCTCGTGATGGGTATTAATATCAATCGCGAGATTGTGGGGTACGTACGATCTGAGATTTAAAAAAAGATGGGTTCATCTGATTCTTCTTCCGTCAACATATTCAATAATAGGTAATAATTTACGGGACATGTTACTTCAGCCGCGTATTTATCGCTAGATGTTCAGTTCGAACAGCACTGAATCTTCACTATCCACAATCACAGCGATCAAGATGGCGATGGCTCGCGCGAGTTATTCATGACAATTTTTGGTGAAAATAAGCCGGCGAGATTTCAATTCTCGTCTCTCCTCTTCTCGTCTCGCCGGTGGAAAACCACGTTTACCGTAATAGCAAATGATAATTTAAAATACCAATCTACGCATAAATGCAATAAGATAACAAATCGCTCGCCTTTGATAGATATCAAGACCGTTGTTGCTCTAAATGTAAATTGTAAGTTAATTTTGACTAAATATCGTTACCAAAAAATACCGAAAACATCACAACTGGGACTGCAGTTCCGTAGCTAATTTATATTATTTGGACCTTAAGATCCATTTTGCTTTAATTCCATCTTGTAATTGGGAATAGTAACTGATCACAGTCTTAGATTCTATACTCACCTTTACGCTCTAAATAGCAGATTGCGTAACTAATTTATGTCATTTGACCGTAAAGCATACGTGATGTGAGATTGAGAAAAACGGTCTAGTTTGCTCTAGTTTCAACTCCACTTAAAATTACTTACCTCCTTAGGTGGTACAGCAAAAAACGAATCTCGTCGAGTTGGACCCAGAGACTAATTCTTAAAGTGTCCTAATTTGGACCTTATCAGCATACCACAACTTGAATATACAGGTCAGCTGGAGTGTGAACGGGGCGCCGCTTCATTCTGCACACAATCCATGTATCACTTATTTATTATCATATCAGTGATTTGAATCTTGTTACTTACATATCTATTTGCGCTTTACATGTTTTCCATACAAATATAATTTGGTCCTAAAATTTATGTACCGGACTTTTGTAATGCCGCAAATGAAACCTTACGATCGGTAGCTAACATTTTAGAAAAAAAACTCTGAGGATTGGACACGAATGTGCAACAAATTTTGTACAAAAATAGAACACGTTGTAATCTTGTTGTACACGCACACACGCACACACTCAACATAGCCCTGTACTAGGGAAATCCAGTGTCGCGGGTGCCATGGACACACACATAGACAACCACAAGTTACACAAAATACACATATTTCTCCCGGCCTGGGAATCGAACCCAGGACCTCTGCATGGCAGTCCGGCATGGTAACCGTTTGACCACGGAGGCAGTTACACATTTTAATTGCTTGCTATACAATTTTAAGTCTTGCATCTTTTAGATTAGCCATTTATTCACATCCCTTACTGTCATGCTTGTAAGCTTCAATGTGAAAATTCCAAGAGTTAAAGGAAAAATTCACAATAAAAGTTGATCCGCCCAATATGCATCAACAGGTTTCTCCTATGGACTGGTTTATCTAAAGACTGTTGTTCCAAACTTGAGAATAATAAAGTTTGCGGGGTAAGTCGTCGTTTCCGAGTTCCATAACACAAGTGCTTTAGTTACTTTTTTTTTATAATACCAAGTGACGAGACGACCACGTGTCGTACGCCTGGTGGTAAACGACACGACACGCCATAACAGTTACTTTGGGATCAGAGCAACGTAAGTGATGTTGTCTAATGTTTATTTATATTTGATTATTATTACGTGAAAAGAGTTTTGCACATTTTAATTTATGTAATTGGACCGTAAGGCATACTTGATGTGAGATTGAGAGAAACTGTCTACTTTGTTCTAGTTTCATCTCTACTTAAAATATTTGGGAATATTAATTGATCACAATCTTAGATTCCATACTTACCCTTAACGCTGGACAACAAACTGCAAACTGACACATTATACATCTAAAATGCCAATGGATCGCTCAGAATAAGCGTCCATAAAGTATTGTAAACGTATGTAAATATTTTTACATTCCGCCTTGTCCATTACGATAGATACGGATACGGAAGCTGCGAGAATTCCCGCGACTACGCGAGAAGTCTTCGGAAGACGCGCGACCTTTTTTTGGCTGGTAGATAAAGTTCATTATACTGTGTATTATTTCGTTACAAAATATTCGCTTCCATGCACTGTAAATTGAGCCCTATTTTTATAAAAATGTGTGTAAATTTAACGATCTCGGTGTGACCCAACGGCTTGTACTGTGGCCACAGGATAAGGAGGTCCAACATTGGATTCTCGATAGGACCAATTTGGGAAATGAATTTTTCGGATCGGGAGTTCTGGATAGTGTTCCGAAGTGAATTCCTCTGGTGCTCTTAGTAGGTACAGGAAATTTCCAAGAGTTTGAAACCAGATAGTTGGTGTGGTTGTCTAACACATTATAATAAATAATATATACGTAATATTGACCAAATTATTAAAAAGTGACTTGTGTTTAACTTCTTGGCAGTCGCAATTAAAAACATAGAGTTCCCCTTTCGTGAAACCTTAATCTTTGTAATTAGTCAAAAGTTTGCTTTTCGTTTTCGATGTGTTTTATTTCCATTGGATAGATGTGATCATCATTTCAGTAGATGAAATCATCTGTGTGCCAAATTTTATTGAAATCAGTTCACGGAAAGGAGGTGAAATTCTACAAACCGAATTCGTCTCCTAATTTGCCACCCTTAGAGGAGGAATATTTCAAATTTGAATGAGATCACTGTTGAGGTACCCCCTCTTCGTCAAACAAGAATCATCGAAATCGGTTCTCCAATATCGGAGTAATCGCGTAACATTCACATGAAGACTTCTCCTTTTATGAAGTAGGTTAACAAGTCTAAAAATTATTTAAGAAAAACAAAAACCCGACTGCAAAAATATTTCGCAGGAAAGTTTAAAAATCCCCCCCCCCCCTTCCTATTTTGATTATTTTTATAGCCTATTACACTCCCACAATCACGACGAATCTACCGACCTCATATATCAAAATCCGTAGAGCTGTTTAGGCTGTACAGCGTGAAAAAAAAATAGCCATAGCTCCCGCAGTCATGCAAAAAATCAAATGAAATTCGTCGTTCATGGTATGGTGATATAACTAATTTAGTGCCGGAATCTCGCTGCTTTACTACTTAACGATACGAAAAACAGATGTGCGATTTCGAAAAAGAGGACAGGTTCAGTCAATAAAGACAATATGAAATATGCATTAGAATTCATTTATTTTCATACGGTTATTTTACAAAGTAGGTGCTCGCTTACACTATACAATTATTCTAAGTTATAATACCAGTATAAAATAAATACAATTTTAATTTTAAATCACAATTCTTAGAAGGCAAATTCATGGACCGACAGTTTTCTTCAGAATTATAAAAACTGTACAATCAACACCAAAAGTCACTGATCATACTTTTCTTGAATAATTAAAAGAGTTTTGTATATACTATATAAAAATGAACGCGTTCGATTATTATTCATCCCAATGCGATAAAATTCCGTGAGTCGTCGAGCTCACGCTCGCAAAAGTTTTTGACGTGTCAAATCCCACTACTGAACGCGGAATACATAAGCAGAGATTTAAGGCCAGGGCTAAAAACAAACAGCTTTTTCTTCTTTTTGTGCCATTGCCACACACGGATACAGCTAATAGTAAAAATGTTTTAAGGTAAAACTAAGAGCGGTTACACACGGCGATTTTTAGCAGCGATATAAACGCGTGATTGCAACGCGACAGTAGCGATTACAGGCGATGGCATCGATGCAAACACACGCCAGTACCGATGCCGTCGCTTATGTTATTTCATTAAAAACGTATATCGCGTTTGCATCGCGTTTGTATCACTGTAGAAGTAAAATAAGTCACCATGTGGAACCCCTCTAAGGTAAGGTAAATTGAATTTAAATTTGTAGAATTACCTTGTGATTGCGGGCGAATACAAAATCTATCATAAAAAAGAAGATGTCTGTATATGCTCTGATTTTCTTTAATTTGGGTATACGTCACGCGTGTGTGTAAAAGTAGATTAGCGACTACATCGCTACTGAAGACGCGCTGCTATATTTCTCCGTAACCGTAACCGCTCTCAGGTAAGATAAATTGAATTTAAATGCGCAGAATAAACTTGAGATTGTGCCGAATATGAATGTATCAGACGAAAGGAGATGTATCTGCTCTGATTTTCTCTAATTTGGTTATAAAAGTTATCCAGCAGCTTTTGATGTTGAAGTGTCTACGTTAAAAGTAAAGATAATAAACATGAATAAGTATACTTATATATTGAATTTTCACTCTTTAAAAATGTATTCACTAGTTCAACAACGTTTTATAAAATACACTTAAAATAAAAGCCTACATCAATCAGTTAAAAGTGCAATTTAACTTCAGGAACAATTAATTTATTATATTAAAACTGCACTCTAATAAAGCTCTATAATACATTAAAATAAGGACTAATTTAGTCTTTCGAGAACACTAGGCACTTATTTACTTAGGAATTTATTTACAACAATTTTTACGAGTTTTTCTAAAGTTACACAAAAGTTATTTTTGTAGAAATATGTATATATTCTGAATTATGAAGGCACGGCGTGATATGTTCTTCAAATATTATTAAACGATATTATAAGGCTGATTAAATTATTTTGAATTTGGTTCCTTTGATTAGAAGGTACATGAAAACACCCATATTAATTACATAATTGCAAAATAGTAAATAGTTGTAGGTACTATTTACGTACAAATGTTTATGCACTATCTTTTAAAACAAGTGATTTTATATTGCAACAGAATTAGACACAAACAATAATTTTGCATTACGTTCAATGCACTCGACCCATGTCCATGCCTCCCAGTTGGCCTAAGTAGGGATATCCCGATTTTGCTTCCGTAGGCGAATGCGATGCGTAGTGCGATGCGTTTGCGCCAAAAAATGAACTGTAACAAAGAAATATTTTACTATTGTTTGCCGAATGTTATTTATTAACATACATAAACTTGTATTTCATAGTTCATGTTAAAATAAAGCATAGTTTAATTTGTGTGTAAATCTTGTAAAGCCATGTTTACGAGTAAAGATCATACATTTTTCGATGTCGACTGTACCTGAGTTTAGTAATAGCTGTAAGAAAAATCAAAGAGAACGCTTGACTAACATTCTAGATACAAGTATCTACATAAAAAGGTAACTCGAACGAAGGTCGCATTCAATGCGAATAAAAGGTACAAAACTCAAGTGATACATAAAATATACCTAGAATGACTTAATAAACAATAACGGGCCAATGCGTAATTCAAAGTGAAACCCTTATCGGTATACACATTACAGGCTATTTTGTAGACTAACTTAAAACTTAAATATAAATCGTCCCCTCGGTATTACAAAGCCACATGTGATCATACATCAAAACGGCTATTATCACGTGAAAGTCATTAATATAATACGAACTACATGAAACAAAGTACGTATATGTGAAATATAATAACTAAACTAATTAAAAAAGTACGTATACGTAGCAGTAGAGCTACTTGTGAAAGAGTTCGTCTAGAGAAGTACTGCCACTTTACCTGTTTCTGCTGCCAAGCAGTAATGTGAGCATTACGAAGGGTAAGGGCGCGTTCCCATTATGTCGTAAAGTTTTATTTATCGTTGGACGGCTGCCGCGTGTAGCCTGTTCCCACATCACGACTATTTGTCGTAACTGTGTCGTGGTTGTTTATTTTATCGTTGAACGATAATCGTGTCTAGGTGTTCCCACTAGATCGTGACGGCAATTTATCGGTTCACGGCAGCCGCGTTGTCGTTTGCACAATAGAATCGTTTGAAGCTGAGATTATCTGTCGTCATATTTTTATCATGACGTTTTATTTATGGTCCGACGACTGTCGTTCTAACTCTTCCCATTCACACGACACACGACACGAAAAAGTCGTGAACGACAGTTAATCGTATTGTATTATATGTGAACAACGTCATTTGAATATACAAGGCACGTATCGAATAATATGGTAAACTGCACGACTATCTGTCGTCACGACATAATGGGAACGCGCCCTAATGGTGCTGTGCTGGTGAAATTACAGGCACATAGGACTTGTCAACTTATGGCTCAAGGTAACAGGCGCAGTGGCAGTGCCAGTGAGATTTTTGCGATTTAAAGCTCTGATTGGCACTGCAACTGTTATGGATAGGCGTATCGCTTATCACCAGGTGCACGAATTGTTCATCCCGTCACTTGGGAACAACAAGAATGAAGTATAGAAAAGTTATCGACTAATTTCGTTAGTAGAATATTTAAGCCGCTCTCCTGAAAAGTTGTCGTTTTGCAGATGTGAGCTTATTATATCAAGGATATGAAATTAGAAAATTATGTCAAAATGTATTCCTTTTTCAAAATCAAAAAGTTTTTGCGTTTCATTATCAGTATGTCGTAACAACACGTTGAAGTGAAATATTAGTTTACTTGTAATAAATCACCGTCATATCTCAATACCGGCACCGTGGGAGCTTAAAAAGCAACAGTAGCCTGAGAGTGAATGAATGAATTGACGTTATAAGTACACATATCGATGAATGGTGCTCGGATGAGAACCTATCGGTGGTAATAATATGATCATAATAATCACAGAGCAGGGCTTCTATACCCCATTGTAATTATGACTTATTTTTGGCCTACCAGAGTGCGTAATTTGTGAGTAAGGTCGGAATGATATGCAAGATATATCTGACTATTAAGCGGCATTTTCGGAAGCAGTTCGTGACTTGAGCAAGCAATAAAAATGTAATTCAAATTTAATTCAGTGGCTAATACGTAATTAGAGTTCATTTGCGTTCTGCACTGCATTGAAATTATGTAAGAAGGTCATGAGTAATATTTAATAGGTGAATTGGTATTTACACGCGTCCACAAAACGAATGTTCCGTGTTTTTGCAGATTATTTGATGTCAGAGATGTATTTCGTATAAAAGCATCGATATTGATATACTTTTTTTAATTGGTTTTTAATTATGCTTCATTCCAAAAATTTGTTTTGTTTCTTTAAACCTTCTATTGTTTTTTTATATGTATAAGACAGAAAAATATTGAAAACTTATTTTGTAGTAAGTATGAGTTTACAAAAAGGCGTGATAGCCTAATTGCTTAACCTAATGCCAGAGGGTTGTGGGCTCGAATCTGGCCTTGCACCTCAGAGTTTTTGGGAATTACATGCGAAATTTAATTTGAAATTTACCATGAGCTTTTCGTTGAAGGAAAACGACGTGATAACACTAGCACACATCTGCAAATCAATGTGTGTGAAGTTCCCAATCCGCAGTGGACTCGCGTGGGGACTACACAGCCCAAGCCCTCTCATTGTGAGAGAAGGCTTGTGCCCAGCAGTGGGACTATATATATAGGCTAACTAATATGTGTTCACATATCTGTGAGAACACAAAATGTTCAATAAATTGAAGAAGATTCCAACTAATATATAAGAAGAAGAAGACTCCAACTAATATATAAATATAATAATTATTGTAATAAACTACCAAAAACTCTAGTTCCTGTGTTATGAAATAACTGTCAATAAACGTTCAAGAGTTAGTTTACTTTTGCTTTTTGAAGATTGCAAAACTTGATATTCAATAATTTGCCGGAATATACTTTAAGTAAAAAGTTACAACGTAAACTATAAATTAACAAGGCTTTATATAAAATGATTACAATTTTTTTTTCATTAATAAACTGCCTGGGAAACCCAAGAGTCGGCTACTTAGCCCAACTTATTAGCATAGCTATAGATACAATGGGGGAACCCTGCCAGCATCTTGGGCACCTTGCTGCGGGGACCTAATTTTATTCATCTAATTTAATCCTAGTTTTAGTTTCTAGTATTTAAGCTTTTATTGTATTTTTCAACCTTATCTGTCCACAAAACGTTTACTAACTCAAAAAATTGTGAACAATCTGAAGTAGTCAACCTTATGAATTTCATTTGTTTTGCAGCTACTAGGGTTTTGATAACTGTCAAGGTCATAATTTCATAAGTCCTCAAAGGTGGCACAACGGCGAAAAAAATCGTTTTAACGCAATACAAGGATCCGCAACAAAGCATATAGAGAATTTTTTAAGGCTGGCTCGATCTGTAACTCAGTCGGTAGAGCGGTAGCCACTTGAAGCGACAGACGCTGGTTCGAGTTTTTTTTTTATGGTATGAAATGACGGGACGGACAAGTCGTGCGCCTGGTCGTAAACGACATGCCTGCCCATACTAGTTGCAAAGCAACTCAGAGCTTTAAATCGCAAAGATCTGGGGAGGACTGCCACAGCGCCTGTTACCCTGAGACATAGTTGATAAGTTCCGTTTGCCACAGAACGCCACTACCACAGTAGAATTGTACGTGAAGCTGTTGGAATGAAAAATATCGTAATAACAACGGAGAAGACGATTGTAAGCTTTTATCGTCGTGGAATCCAGTCATCAGCAAATATAAGTGTTATGTGTCGTTCTAGTGACAACCTTAGCGCATATATAAACAATGAAGACCAAGTGCAATAGTAAGAAAAACTCGCACGGCTAGAAGATGTTGACACCCGCCTCTGCTGGCAACGTCCATGATCTCGAAGGGACTCGAGATCATGGACGTTGCCAATATGTCCGAAACGTCGAGGTAAATAGAATATGTTTTTATACACGATTAAGTCCCGAATTCACCCTTCAAAAACGGAACTCATAAATGCGCATATTACCGCTTGGCGGCATAAATAAGTAAGATGGTACTACTTCTCTGGAGGAACTCTTTTACAAGGAGCTCTACTGCTACCTAACTTCAGGCGGATCGAAGGAATTTTTCTTTGTGTTCATTCGATCTTTGTATTAATAATAATAACAAAGTATTGGAGTATTTTCCACAAAAAAAAATAGATGATGGCAGTAAAAACATCATGATCTTCAATAAAAATTAAAAGTTTTCGGAATTTATGTGCGAAATCTAATTTGATATTTACCCTGAGCTTTCGGTGAAGGAAAATATCATGAAGTCCCCAACCCTCATTGGGCCAGCGTGAGGGACTATTGCCTAAAACCCTCGCCTGAGATGAGACCCATACCCAGCAGTATGAAGTATAAATGTGAAAGGGTTGTAACCCTAACAAGCCGTGACCAGGTTCACGGCAATAAAACAGAAAACTTCAGGTCCACAAATTTATTTAAAGTCAGTTATAGAGGTTATAGAGAAGAAAATGTAACGAAGAGGCCCAAAAGGGCAGAAATATACTGAATTACAGATACGTATTCATAGGTACATGATAAGGCTGTGGCGGTTATAAACTTATTGAAATTGGCACATGATTTAGATTACTAATGATAATAAACTTAGTGAAGGAATCAAAATTAGACGCGATTGAATTTTAACCAGCTCCATATGCTGTCGCGATCGAGCAGGGAGTGACGGTGGAACGAAACAAAATCAGAATGCGAGGCAAAAGAGCTATGGAACAATTCAAAATTTAAATTTAAATACGAGTGGCCAGGAACCGGAGAAAGGCGATAAAAAGGTGAGATGACGATGTAAAGAGGTCACACGGTCACAAATGGGTTGATGAATACATATATTGATGATAAGTAAAGAAAAAATAATAATGTATGCAAGCGTCAATAATCTTAATCTCAAGTGGCAGATACGGAATCAATGCTAAGCAATTTACCGATGTTGATCAAGTGGAGATATCATTACCAAATGCTGCCATCGTTGCCACTATTAATGTTGGACTGACACGCAATGCACACGGTGTACCGGTCAGTTTTCCAACGGTATCTGTTGCCAATTAACAATCAACTACTCGCAATCGAATCGATTTGATGACGGCATAAATGTCGATTTACTCTGCGAAATTCGTAACGCATGAAGCATGTATGTGGCAGATACTACTTTGTCTTTATATTCTGTGATTTATCTGTATAGGTAATATGATATTTAATACGCGCACACATTTTAACGAAGTAGTAGTAGAGCTCCTTGAGAAAGAGTTCCTCCAAGGAAGTATTGCACCTTACCCATTTCTGCCGCCAAGCAGTAATATGAGCATTACTGCGTTTTGGTTTTGGTGAAATTACAGACACGTGGGATTTGTTAACTTATGTCTTAGGGTGACGAGCATAGTGGTTCAAAGCTCCGAGTGACACTGCAACTGTTATGGACAAGCTTGTCGCTTACCGACTTGTTCATCCTATCACTTGGTATCATAAAAATGAAACAAAGTATCTTTTCAACATTAGAAATATTATTTGTCTGTCTCTGTATGGAGGCATCTGCCTTTTCTTTGCATAGATGGCTGGATTACTGCTAGAGATCTCGGTACATTAGAGAATTCTTATTCAAATCAGCATATTTATTCCCCGTCAGTACCGGGACAACAAGAGAAGAAAAAGTGTTGCCGCAGGGCAAATTAAAATTATTTTTTCAAGTTTAATTACATAATGTTGCGTCTTAGATGGCGTCGAATCTTTGTTAAACTTTATTATAAATAAAGAGTTTCGTGATCGATTGTATATAATTTCAATTTAATTCAATATATTGTACTAGATGAGAAAATTCACATACACAAATTGACTAACGAAAGGCGCACGGGAAGCTTGCATTTTAGGAAGTCGAATGCAAATAACTGCAGATAAGTTTAATACAGGGTTTGCGTTGGCTTTAATGCTCGGGTTCAGTGCACTAATGTCACGTTTGGCCTCTCATTAATTGCCTTTACGCTTACTTACACAGGAACGCGCGTTTATCTGTTTTGTACTATGTATTGTTCTGTCCTCGACGGCAGATGAAAGACGATAAACGGGCCTTGGATTTATGAACCGCGCTGACGTGAATCCAGAAAATGTTGCCTGTCTAATACTTTGAATTGTATCAAATCACAACAAAAGGAGACAGCAAAAAATGCACCGTGTTGAATGGAAAAACAGTTTATAATCATATTCAGGCTGATAAGACATTATCCTTAAAATATACTTTTTTGACTGTGGAAATTACACGGAAAATACGTCCTAGCAGCCGTCTATTTAATGTGGTAATCACAATCACTCTTTGCAGACAATGCCTGTTACGTTAATTGCGAGGTACAAATATGTATTCCCCCATAACTACTCGCAGGCTACTGAATTATTATGAATTCTGGACATGCAATACAAAATTACCTAATTGCTCCATTTGAAATACAGCTTTAGAATTGCGAAGAATCATTTATAAATCGATACGTCAGTTAAAATTTTAAGTGATACTCGCGGCCGACGTGTGGATGCAGAGTAATGTTGCCCATATTTTGTGGCTCACAATTTTGGCAGACATAGTAACAAATAGAGTCGACGACCAGCGTCAATCAACTCGCCAGGATAGATAAGACCGCCGCAAACGTGGCCAACCCATATGTTATTAGTTCGTCTGTCATTGTGCAACAAGAGATATTGTGTGTGGTCCAATGAGAGGTTTATAGACGTGCTTTGTCTCGATAACACAGATAAATGTCGTCGCCGTATACAGTACAAAGCAACAATGACTTTGTCACATTCTCTTTCGTGAAATTCACTGTTGTAGTTACGCTTTACGCTCTACGTACAAGTTGTCGTATACTGACCCGCCTTATTTTTTTCACATACCAAACTTCAACTAAAACCCGTAAAGGATTCTGCATGAGAAAGAAAATAAGTTACTAAAAGTTTAATTAAAAGTGATCGAAAAATCTCTATAAAATTCGCAACCCTATGCATTCACGATCGGATCGGCGTATTACGAGGCGCGGGCTGTAATAACCACCGTGCGGCGGATAATGGCCGACTTCTTACACTCTTAATTGATTAGCGGCCGCTCCGGCTAATGATAAAGGAAGGTGAAAAGAAATAAAACGAACGCACCCCGATTTGCGATCGATCCCGACGCCTTTCCGATAGCCACCGGACGTTACGCGTTGCACGCAAAGCCCTCTATCTCCGTCCGTCTTAGAAAACAGCACATCAATGACTGGGTAAAATAAAATGATGTCATTGCGAATATCCACGGATCCGAAACAATACCATTAGAGAAATAACAGGCATGTCTTACAGAATTACGCTAATAGATTGTTATTTAAATAGTCGGCGGCAAAGGTCAGTTTATTGTAATTGCATATTCATCCATACAATTGGAGTCTAAATATGAGTAGCTGAGCATCAATAATTCATAAAGCTACTTGCTCGCCGCCGGGGATTATTGAGACGTTGTACTCTTGTTTGTTTATGATTCATATAGTTGTTTTGTTACCTGTACTATTAAGTCACTTAATGGGTATTTATGCATCATAGAGTGAGGTGATATTGATTGACTCACCTATAGTTTTCCGGCCATGCTCCGACTTCAGCCAATTTGTGCTGGGGATGTCCGCTTAGTTGTCTTGAGGTCCAGTGGTTGTGCGCGGACATGGCACTTACTCCCTCTTGTTTGGGATAGTCGCCGTATGCGTATGGATGCACAGATTCACTTGGGTCGTAAGTAGGATGCTGATAAGTGATTGCACTTTGGTTTGCTCCAGGGCTTGTAGCCGTTGGACTCGTGCTTGGAGGGGTGGTATCGGCGGACGCTTGTAATGGAGTAGCAATCTCGGAAGAATGGGACAGAGGTGTTAAATTTCCTGATGAGAACGAACTTGACGTTGGGGGATGTAGAGAAGACGCCGCAAGAGCTGATTGACACACTGAAGGCGCAGTCAAAGCTGACTGGTGGAGGGAAGGACCCAAAGCAGAGTTCAGTACTGAACTAGAACCCAATGCAGATGAATAAGATTGTTGCCAAGACGCACACTGAGCGTTAAAAGTTGAAGGAGGTTCGTATTGCTGATGGACGGATGGGAAAGCAGATTGTAAAGACATTGTGTTGAAGGCACTCAATTGTTGTGAATTAAGTTGTTTGCGGAGACGTGCTCTTCGGTTAGAAAACCAAACCTAGACAGAAATACAAATACACTTATAAATTTCTTTGTTACCAAAAGGGGCAACTAAAAGATAATAGTATGCACAGATAAAACCACTTAGGTGATTGATCTGAGGGGACTATGCAAGAACGCTCATGGTAGCAATTTCTTAATAGGTTTACTTAGAATCTAAATAATTAATCTACCTCAACATCGCTCAATATCACCGCATCGGTATCTATCGCATTAGATAAACTCTCGTTGAGAATATTGTTACATGTAATTACGATGCAAGCTACACTCAATTAAATTTAATATTGAAACCTACAATTAAGCACTAGTGGTTATTAATCTAACAAAAAATGTAAAGAAACGGTAGCGAAGCGCAACATATGGTAGCTTGCTCGACGAATGTTACAATTAATTATAAAGGTAATTACTTATTTTTTTACGTCACGGTTTTTGTAAAGGGCGGAAAGCGATCGTGTTCCAACAATGAGTTTGTTTGATTGTATTCATCTATCATGTCTGTGTTTATCCTATGCGTTTGTTATAGCTATAGTATTACCTGAACTCTGGCTTCGGTCAACTTGGTCTTCTGCGCTAACTCTTCTCTTGTGTACACATCAGGATACTGAGTTCTAGTGAAAGCCCTCTCTAAAGTTTCCAGTTGATCGCCAGAGAACGTGGTTCTAGACCGCCGTTGCTTCCTTTTCAACGTAATTCCTGGCTCTGATTCGGTATCTGAGTCTTCACAAGATGATGGACCTTTTGAAACATGAAACAAACTTGTTGTATAAGGAGTTACTGCTGTGAACCTAATGTGCAATGAAATTAGAGCTATAAATCAATGTGACTTAAAGCGATTTCAGTTTGTTGTATTACCACGTTAATGATGGTGAAGCTCATTCTGATTCATTATATCACACATTTGTCGTTCTACCAAATTGTTACTTTCTAACGGTGTTTGATTTTGTTTTGTTTTATGACGACTTTAGTGTACGTGCTACCGCGCGGACCACACGCGGTCCCGATTAAATTAAATGTAACCACATTACATTGTATTACATTTGTAGAAGTCTCTAATGACTTTTGGAGCCTCTGTGTTTGGTAAGTCGATAATGAAATGAGATTTGATTACCTTTATTTTCATTTGAGTCAACATTCGACTAATTTTGAGGCACAAAGAATCAAAAGCCTCTATTTAATGATAATAATAATAGAGTACCTATGTACATTGAAAGTTGAAAAAACATATTACAAATATTAAATTAAAATGCCTGTAAGTACCTAAGTTTATTAAATTAAATATAATTTTGTTGAAAATGTTGCATGTGCATTTTTAACTTTCTACTTTGCAGGTAACTAACTTTATGCAAACGATTTCCCGAAGTAGAGTAGCTAAAACAGTTATGCAGCATCAGAGGAAAGACACAACAGAGAAATTTTCAATCCGGGCCGATTGGCAAAGGGGCCGCTTTTCCAGTGTAGATATTACTTTAGCCGCGCACAACTTAATATGCATAATCTTATCGCGACGCAGAATCTCTCCGGCAAAACCGCACCATCGCTGAACCGGGATATTAGGAGCGCCATTTTATATTGGATAGCTATACAGCACAAGACGTGCAGTACGGACAGATTGTCGTAATGCAAGCCCCGCGGCCAAACGCGATGGGATAATAACACCTTTGGATACTAATTTCATTTTTATAACCTACAATTTCGACGCCGACACAAGGGGCGCTGCTGTGGCGTGCGCGCGTCTTGTCCGCTACACTTTACGTGGATTATTAACTTTATACGCCATTTTGTGAAGTTTGCAAACGTTCCGACAGTCTCATTATTGGAATAAATTTATAATAATAGTGTGCTTTGAACTAAATTAAGTGATTATGGGCTCGAATCAGCGTTAAGGACTACGATGACACGCTGAGTTATTTACGCATCATTATGTCGAAGGTTTATTTTTAAATTGAAATTTATTTGCCAAGGCTTAGTTCATTATTGCCAAATATATTGTTAACATTTAAAAGCCAGCTTTGTAGGTAGATAATAATGCATTCAGAATAAACCACAATACTTTATCAAGATAGCACAGTAGCGAACTGGGGTAATATAAAGTTTAATGCAAACGTACTTTGCGGAATCCCTCTTCAAGCGATTTAGTGCACAACAAACTACGAGCACCCCGTCTTTTTATTTATGCAAAGGAATATTTTGCTTTTAAAGCTTTAATATAAGTACATACTTATAAAAGTAACGTTAATATCCAGGAAATCAAATCATAGATAAATCACAATCGTATAAGGCAAGTTTTTAAAGGCCAACATTTTAAATCTAAGGTAAGTACGACTTACCTAGAATACCGTCAATGCTGTGATTTCTTCTAGGATCTGATTCGTCCCTTTTGCCGCCTCTTATAAGCCTCGATATGGAACTGACTGAAGGGGCAGTGTTTTTATCACAGATGCCTTCCTTTATTAGTTTATCTCTAATTTCCCAGGAGAATATACCTGGGTTTTGTCTCTTGAGTTCTTCAATCCTGTTTTCTACTTCAGGCGTCGCCACTCTCGGCTTTGAACCCCCGATCACACCGGGGCGGATGGAACCAGTTTCCTAAGAAGACAAACAACTCGTCAGTAACGTAGTATATTACCATACGTATAAAAGATCCGCACTAATTTTGAATTACTGCTTACCTGGTACCGATTGAGGATCTTGGAGACGCAACCGTGGGAGACGCGCAGTTGCCTCGAGATGACGCAGGGCCGCACCCCCGCCGCCGCCATCTCTACGATCTTCAGTCTTATGTGGTTCGGCAGGGGCCGCCCGTTGATGAACACCCCTCCCAGTTGGTTCATACGACCCTGGCCTGTTGACAAATATACCAGTAAATATATGGTAATTCAAACGGTTCTTCAAATATTTTTTCCCATCATGACTAAGAATAGATACTATAATTAAATCAGCATTGTGCATATACTTAACCGTATATTTATCTATAATTTATTTATCATGTTTATTTATAAAACTGAGCGTAATAAAGCAACATAAAAGATATATAAAATTGTACAGTGTTTCCTACCATATCGTGCGGACTAAATTTAAAAGTCATATTCGAAATTAACGCCTAATATTATGCATTTTCGAAATACTGCAACAAAAGCTACATAATAGACAGTGTATCAATGAGCTGCTAGGCTAAATCACAGAAGAACATCTAAACTCAAGCTTCAATCACCCGTATGAACCAGACCTCGAGAGGTAGGCTTCGATCACCATTCAATTTTCCGTCCCATTGCAAGTGTTCCCAAGCAAGAGTATCCAATTTCTTTAACACGAATGTTCTCGGCCAGAAACCATAACACTTAGCTATTTTCGCCTATTGTTGTATCTGACAGACTCCGTTACTGTAGTCGCAAAAAGAAAAAGTTACTACGCATATTATTATAATTATTATATAATTATTAATATAAAGAAAAGAACGCTAAGAAAAATTCCTTTAATCCGGCCGGATTCGAACCAGCGCGCTCAAGCATACCGTGTCAGATCGGATCGAAGGAATTTTTCTTAGTGTTCGATCCTTGTGATAATGAATTTGATTGTGCTATTTTTATTGATGACTCGTCTTTTATTTCTTAAAATGTAATAGAATGTCATTAGAGATTTAATTAGTGTTTAACGATTCTTAGAAGTTCAATTAACTTTATGTTCTACTGGTTGCGAATAAAATCGAATGGGAAATGTAATATATTTTCTGGATTTATTAATGCATGTTGAGCTGAAGTGTCGCTATTATAATCACATCACGAAGCGGCGACCAGTGGTAGGACCACCTATCGTCAAAGGAAGCCGCCGGTCGTCGATTTTTGCAACGCCTTTGTGATATGCATGTTTGCTCCTATTCAGACGGAATAACGTTAACAAAAAATTATATTCGCTCTTATTATATTTTTGACATTAGAGCAAATCGTAGCTTGATGCAATTTTGTGTAATTCTAACCGAGTAGACGTAACTTTTATGTACTTTACACTCGCATCATAAAACGCACTTGTTGTTGTTTATGGTAATAAGTAATTTCAGAGGGAAAATAAAGAACATTATTTTTTTTTTTATATCTGGACGCTACTACATAAACATATGATTATTTTTCGACGTTCTTTTAATCCAAACCGCGAACTTAACCGCAATGACGATAAAAATATTTCATTTTACTACTAAGATATTGTGGTCGAACTTCTTTGCCTAAATTAGTAAAATAGTTTCGAGGTTTCTTTTGTTAATCTTTCTGTGATTGACGTCGTTCTTATTATGAAAAGAAAAAATATAACAGTGGCATCTTCCACTTGTGAAGGCATTTATAGTTTATCAATTTCAAATAATTCCTCAAAGGTGCCGCCGCATGTAGAGCCCCGGCTCCCCGCTGAGGAACACCAATCAATTAGACAACATGTCAACAAGTGTGTCCTTTGATAACACGCATGGTGCGTTCGTCCCACTCCAAAACAAACCGTAAACAAACAACATACAGCTTCTAATTGAACTCCAAGAAAACAAGAAACTGAGCCTCCAGGAATATCTAATGCGTTAATAGAATTTAAGCTTTATGTTGTGCAGCAAAAAGACTATTTAAAATAAGCAGTTTTTCTTTTGTAGTCGAACTGGACGCTCGGCGTGGTTCTGCAAGCGATCCCTACATTTTTTGTCGGAGCCCGCAGACGCTGCGGTGCCTCGAAAGCCCATGTTTTTGAGTGTTAATTTTATGTTCCCGAAATATTTATGACGCATAACGTGTCCTTAATAACCCTGCTATACAAATGTGGGTGGCTTTGTAGTAATGTATCACTTTATTATAAATGTTATAATCATATTGGCGAGTAATTACAGTTACTCTATTGTTTTCACCGCCTACTCGAGATCCTTGTTAAACTAAACCCTATATAAAAAGTTAATTGTTGGCGTTGTACTTTCGTCAATAAGAATGATATTATACGTATATATTTTTCGTAACAGGATCAATCAAATGAACAATCGATAAAAGGTTCACAACAAATGCACAAAACGCACCTCAAGTGCACAATGCGTAATAGAATTCGCAAACATTGTAACGCTATTAACGCAAAAGGAGGCGAAGTTAACAACAAATTCAAACATTCGTTGGCAACTAATCGTCCGGAAGCGCTTTTAGACCATGCACGAGTTGCCTCGGACAAAAGCTGCTACCAGGGTGGCATAGAAATATGGACCATTGATAATATTGCAGTACAAAGAATATCAGTCAGTGGGTTTTCGGCAGCCATAAGGGATAAGCTCGTTTTTCTACTCACGCGGCGTCTTGTTCATCGCAGAACTTTCCTCCTTGAAGTAAAGTCTCACACTAAAGATACAGACATTGTACCGTGGAACATATAAAATTTTCTCACAATCACATAATCGTGTTCCGATTCGTTCGACCGCCGCGTTCGTGTTAGACGAAATTGAAACAGAGTCAATCATTTAATGCTAAACGTAAGAGGCAAGCCGTGACGGAATAAATGAAGATTTTGAATTCACCATTCGCATTTCTGTGTCAACTTTAATTAACAATCACATTTTCATCAGCGCTCAAGTACCGGCGGGTTATCATTCGCATTGTCGACTGGAGATTGGATTTCCTAACATTCCATGTTTAAGTTGACGAATTTCATTTTCGGTTTGAATGACTTGGATTGCTTAATCGATTGAAAGATTTATCACTGCACTACGTTTTGTTTTAATCCATTGATCCGCTTCCGTTTGCTATTTATTTTTTTGCAAATATTTACTCAATCACGGGCCGGAGCGTTTAATGTCATACGTTATTACTTATGTACTACCGCGTACACGGGAGCGAAGGCTAATAAAAGTACAGGCGCAATAGCCGTAAAGATATCCCGGCTGCACGTAGGTTGTTGTTTGTTCTAAGGCACACTCTATTTAACATTAACATAAGCGTATCGATCACTAACATTTTTACTACAAATCCCGCTTGGAAAACTTCAAACAACTGACTTTCTTCTTCCAATTTCACCAACAAACTGTTATATGATGCAAAGTGCATACTATGAAAATCGGTATTTGTGCAAATACTTAAATAACACTAGTAGTAAGAAATTAATTTTCTACGATTCTAGAAAAACAAATGGAGAAATTGTTTTAAGATTTTTTACAGGTTCAAGTTAACAACGTTACGGGGATAGTTTATAATGTACGAAGTCGATATTGTACTGTGTAAATAAATCGTAAACCCCGTTTTCACAATCATAATATGTTTCTGCTAGCAAATCAATTTCACGTAGCGACATTAATGTGCCTATAGTAAAATTTATATGAGGCTTTACGTCATACGCAACACCGCTTTCCTTCCACATGAGTTGTATGGTACGATAACCACACCGAGAATCCACTGCGCGAAGCCCGCATATACTTTAAGGAATACCCTTCAGCTTTTACTGGAAGCTGAACATATTTAAATTAATGCGTCAATAAAGTATTTCATAAATGTATAATGTAATTGTATTTTTTTATTTTAGTCGTAAATTGTTCTACGTGATTCGGCGATAATTGAATTTGTACTGATTTGTTGACAAGAAATCAAAAGCGACTTTATAGGTTTATCAATACTAGGACAACCCTATTAAATTATTATTTACTAAACGCAATTTTCGATAAGCCTTTTACTTAACACTATTTTCAAATAGAAAAGTTGATTTACTCAAGACAGTTATTAGCTGTGGTTATCGTTGAACTCGAGATTTCTAATCGTAACCTGTTAAAAATTCATCTATACACTAATAAAACCTATTACTATCCAAAATGAAGCAACAAAGAGGTGAAATGCCATCTGAATAGGCATTCGAATTGGGCGGCGTCCACAAAGGCTGTGTCATTCCATTAAGCCTTCTTCAAGCCTTCAACTATTCTGTGTGGCCCGTGGTCGCGTGGCTTCGCCTCGCCCGAAATGTAGCGCAATCGAATATCAAATCAATTCTATTATACTTTCATACGTCGCGGCTTAGCTGTGCCGCATATTTTTTGAGTGGATCAAAGAAATTCTTCTTTGCTGTTTTCTACGACACATCACATACGACCTCTGAGCGCAAGTCACTTCTATGGAGAAACTGGTCTATGACCTGGGTATCAACTGTGGAATATTATTTTTTTATCTGTATCTTGTCGGACTATGTAACCAATGCGTTTTTAGTTTATTTATTTCTATCGGGGAGGAACTGTTTGCTTATTTACTTTATTTTAATTTTCATTGTGTTATGCTATAAGCTGCACGTGCCCTTTATAATAAGATAAATAAAATAAAATAAACTATTACTCATAGGAAATTGAACTATTTCTTGTGGATCTAAACCGCGTATATTTAGTGGCAGTAGAGCAGTAGAGCAGTTACTGCGTTTCGTTTTTGAAGGGTAAAGGTGCTTTCAACTTATGTCTGGGTGACCGACGCAGTGGCAGTGCCTCTCACATCTTTGCTATTTAAAGCTCTGAGCAGCAGTGCAACTATTATGGACAGGCGTGTCACTCATTACCAGGCGCACGACTTGTTCGTCCCGTCACTTGGTATCATAAAAGTATATTTGTGTTTTTCAAACAAATTAACGTTTGGGTCCCTTTACAACGGTCAGAACCGTGTGTCCGTCACGGGACCTGTAAAAGGAACCCGAAGCGTTATTTTGTTTGAAAAAAAAATTAGATCCGGAAAAAATATTTCATATGCGTAACAATCGCGTAAACCTAAATAAACAAATAAATATTATACAACATCATATACGTTGCTCTGATCCATCGAGTATACGTATAACCAGAAATAGAGACGAAATGTCATTTAATTTGTTTGAAAA